CCCCAAAACCCCAAAACCCCAAAACCCCAAAACCCCAGTTTATGAAATTTATGCTGAAACCTTAAAGATGGATATCTATTGGAATCTCATTTGCATATTAAGTCCTGGAGCTGTAGCTGATACTCCAGTGTCACTTGCAGTAGCAGTCATGGTGGCAGTACCTCCCATTGGAGGTGGAGCTCCAACAGGAGCTGCAGTTGGTGCAGGAGCCTGCACATGAGTAGCATAAGTAGCAGTCTGATAGGTAGGAGCAGGTGCTGGAGTAGTTGCATACGTGGTATGAGTAGCATGAACAGGGATTCCTTGAAGACTCTTAATAATAGCATCAAAAGTCTGGTTTTGAAGAGCCTGCTGAGCCTTATAAGCTTCAAACTCTGCTTTTAAGGTTGCATAGTTAGTCTCAAGTTGCACAACTCTTGCTTCAAGTGTGGATGCTGGAAGAATTCCTACTTGAGGAGTGGTGATAGTAGCAGAAACCAATGGAACTTGTTGGGTTGTTGCATGAGTTGTAAATGTTGTATGAACGATTCCAAATTCTTGTCTGATCTCTTCATACTTATCAAATCCTTTCAAAAGCATTTCAAGCTTTTTGAACTGTCTTTCGTGCTCATCATCAATTCTTTCAAGCTCCATTAATTCTGAATTATATCTAAAAGACAGTTAGTCATCAGGATATGATAAATGCTTTTGTATTCCTCACAAATATTTACGAAAGCTAAATATTCAAAATCTTAAATAAGAATGATGCGTTTTAAGATCTAATAATTCAATAGTCTCTATTTATATTATCGTTTCACAACGACTACTATATCAGAACAAACTCAGAATTTGCCATTGAAATCTCTCCAGCCTAATTAAACCCAAAAGAGTTACAAATCTTGATGAAAGTTGGTTGATTCATTGGAGACTAAATTTCTGCTAAGCCAATCAAATAGGATTATGAAGTAATCATGCTAAACATTTGATGGTATACAGCGTGAGAATCTTTAGAAGTCCTGAATTGGCTAGACCTCGTACCTCTAGCACTTTCTGAGATCATAAAGAAATGAAACTTAACCAAGTGATTAGTATAAGAGAGAAGAATTTAGCATTAACATCTCTATGCCTACAATTTTTCAAGAACACTCCGTATCTTTTTATCAAGTCCTTAAGAGAATCTTCCAATGTCCAGAAGGAGCTAGAGTATCCAGAGATGAATATTCACGAGGTACAAAGATCAGGACTCATCCGACAATTCCTGAAAAGAAAATGCCATTTCAGAAAGGATCAGATTAAATAAAATTAACTACACGTACTCCAAATAGGAGGGACCTGAGCTGTATCTAGACTACTATCATTAAGATATACTAAAAACAAACTCTGAGAAAATTTCATCAATCTTTCTCAACACTTACTGCATGATCTTTGCAAAGTCGAAGCTCATGACAGCTGCAGTGATCTGCTCAAAGACAGCTTGGCCTTTAGCCATATCCTCTGGGGTCATCTTTGCTTTCTCAGCTGCATCTCTCATTGCGACTACCTAAATCAAAGATGTTAAAGAGTGTTCTGAACAAAAGAGCTAACGAAGACGAGTACAGAGGCGATGATATTTGTAAATAAAGCTTACATTCTCTCCCTTAATCTCAAGGACATCTACAAGAGCGATATATGTTGGCAACTTGGCTTCTCTGTGCTTGTATCTATCTTGTAGCTCCTGACTCTTCTTTCCTGGATCTTCCTGTCCTCCTGCTGAAGAAGTAGTAGTGTGGTGGGTGGTTGTAGTCATATTGACATTCATTCCTGGTGCGCCAGGTGGTGGTCCTCCAAATCCGCCGAATCCTCCGAACATTGCTATGTTAAGAAATTTATTTAATTTAAGGTCTATGTCTCCAACCAATAAGTACCTGAAAGGGGTTTTGGGGTTTTGGGGTTTTGGGGGTTTGGGGTTTTGGGGTTTTGGGG